GTAAAAAGAAAAACATAACCATTTATATTTTTGCTTTATGCTTATTTTTTATTCTCACTACTTGAAATCAAATAAGGCTAAACTGTTCCTGCTCCGTCAGTTAGGATTCACAAAATTATTTATCTTCAATAAATGCCTTAATAATAAAAGACAGAGATTTTTAAGTCATTTATTACATTTTTAAGAAATCAAAAGTTTACATACACAAAGATTTCCATATCTGGGAAAACCCCGATGATGTCATGGCTTTGAAAGCTTTTGATTGCTTAGTTGATATCAATCAAGTTATTTGAACCTGTGAAAGTACACACACCTCAAACAAGCGAGTTCTTTGTGTGACATCATGAGAAAATAAATCTTCCAAGATATCAGGAAGAGAATTGTCAGCCTTCACAGCTCTGGTTCATCCATGTGAAGGAAATTTTGTAATTTATAAACTGAATGTTAGGTCCAGTTTTGTATTTTATACTTTCTGATCATTTCAGCCATAAGTTTAAACAGAATGAGAGTTGATGTGTCTAATTGATGCGTTCTTTTAGTCTGTATAAACAAAAGCTGGTTACATCCTGATGTCTGACATAAAAGTTACCACCTTCAAGGGTGTAACCAGGAAGAGCCTGAGGAGGTTATAAAGGTTGAATCATTATGATATGGGTAGAAGTGTTTTGCAGAGTCTCTGCTTAGATCCAGCCTGGACAGACTGGGCTGCTTTGTTTGTTTTTTCTTTTATATGAACTCAAGGCCTTACACTGAGGCATGTGCTATCTGCAGTGCTATGTACCTGATTGGAGTCAGATGGGAATAAAGGTTTTCCGAAGAAATCCAGTGAATTCCTGCTTTTATTCAGACATGCCATTTTTCAACAACACTTTTCCACACATGGGTACACATTACAGATGCCTGAATGTACTATGTCCATCTGTTCACACAGTTTTATACAAGTGTAATCACAGTAGTATTGTCCTRTCATCATTTAGGTCAGGAGGGAAACAGGGTATGTGTTAACAAGAACATCGAGTTTTAGAGTGAAATGTGATAATCAGCTCCAAAACAAAAGCAAAAGACCTTGTGAAGAAACTGCCTGAAGCTGTTAAGCAAATGTTATTTTTCAGACTGAGTCCTGTGCTCACATGACCTAAAAGGCCATTCAGCAAGGAAGAAGTTGATACTCCAACAATGACATAAAGAAAAAACCCTTGTCTCTGTGTGTACCTGCACACTAAAATCAGATTTTTAGTGTAATATCCTGTGGGCAGATGAAACTAAAAGTGAACTTATAATGACCATTGGTACATTTGGTGGAAAAATAGGGGAAGCTTGCAGGCCTGAGAACACCATCCCAACTGTAATGTGGCTGCTATATGTTGTAGGGGTGTTTTACTGCAGGAGGGACTGGTGCACAAAAAAAAAAAATAGATATCTTATGGAAAAACATATCACCAGAAAAAAAAAACTTCTCCAGCACATCCCAAAGACTCTCTGCGGAACCAATCCATGTGTAAAAATGATGTCTCATGCTCCCTGAACCACTCTTTCACAATTCCAGYCCCATGAATCCTRGCATTGTCATCTTGGAGTATGGCCGTGCCGTCAGGGAAGAAACAATCCATTGATGGATTAACCTGGTCATTCAGTATATTCAGGTAGTCAGCTGACCTCATTCTTGGAGCACAGACTGTTGCTGAACCTAGACTTGACCAACTGCAGCAAACTCACATCGTAGCACCTATTTGCTTAGTTAAATCCAGGTGGTGATTTTTTTTATCCCTTTTTTTTTTGGCCAGGCACTGTATTTGGTGCAATATAATCAAAGTGGCTGAGAGGTACACTGTGTATAAGAGCAGATATTTTTTTTCTTCTTTTTTTCCCATCTGAGTTGGCACAGAGTGATGGATCCTGGCAAGCAGAGAGAGCAATTTTATACCAGGTGCAATAGCTGAGCCAGGGTGTGGCCAGTGGTTGCCTTGCCCACCATAACATCCCAATTATTTGAGAAAACTATACTTWTAATCAATATAAAAACTTGAAAGCATAGTTTGTTGAAATGACCAGGGTGGCTGGTTTAAACATGGTGGTGGCCATCTTGAATTTTAACATGGTAACACAGTTTTTCAAGTTATCGAGCTCACAAGTCAGATGGATGAACGGGCAGAGGGCATTTTTCTCAGAGCATGTAAACATGCAGTRTGTTCATGTGTATTACAGCAGTTTTCTGTTTCTTTTTTATGGCTGTAGGAGACCCATTCCCCCCGGCAAAAAAAAATCTAAATTATATATATAATTCACTGTGATTATTGCTTGAGTCACACTTCCAGCTGCTGTTGAAAACATCAGGTTGTTTCATACAGAGGAGTGCAGAAACATGAAGAACAACAATAAATTCAGAAAGACAGGACTATAATTATGTACCAACATATCCTACTTGACAGCTAGCAGGGTCGCAAATGTGACCTGATTTCTGAAAAGCAAACAATACAAAACAAATCCAGCCTCACTGGTATGACTGGATCGTCGTTCTGTCAGAGTAGGGCAGCGGGGCCCTGATGTATAAGGATTAAACGGACACTGCTTTCAACGAATCAGACGAACTCCAGGGCCGTTTTATCCAATCAGAGCAGAGC